CTCAGCCTCCCAAGTAGCTGGGACCACAGGCGCCCGCCACAGCGCCCGGCCATTTTTTGGTTGCAGCCATCATGGTTGTTTGGCGGGCCCGGGCTGGGGATTCGAACCCGCCACCTTAGGTGTACGTGGCTGGCGCCCTAGCCGCCTGAGCCACAGGCGCCGAGCCAATTTTTAAGTTTTAAATGAAAATACATAGCTGATTGGACTGGTAAGAAAAACCATCCAAGCTCCTTGTTCTACCTTTGCTACCAACTTGCGAGCAAAAAGTGGGACAGCAAAAGTAATTCCATTTAACTGATGTGAGTGTAAACCACTGAAAGATTTCTGGGATGTAGTTTTAGCAATATCTTATACCAAAGGATTTAAAAATATGCAAGCCATTTGACTCACAATTATACATCTAGGAATTTCTCCTACGAAAATCATCACAGATGTACATACAGATATGAGCATCTACCCCCCAGGACTTTTCCCTTCCCATTTATGGGGGTCTGAGTCTCCAGAAAACTTCAGGGGAGTAGAAGGGAGTGGTGGAGTTAATAGTGGAAAATCCTTATGGTCTATTGACTTCACAAATGTTTATGGAGCAAAAACTGCCGAAGTGGACAATCCCAGCATAAGTGGATGAATTTGCATGGATGTTTCATGGTTTTCTCTGACTGTAGTAAAAATTTAACAACTTTATGCTGACCAAAATGCCCTCAACAAATCCACACATCAATTGTTACTCTCCTCCATCAACTGGATTGCCCTTTCTCTTGTTCTTAGCAAAGACATAAGGTCCACCTTACCTTGTCCTTTTCTGAAGTATGCAGATGAAGAAAGATAAATTGTTCTATCATTTCAACATGGCCCCTCTCGGCTGCCAAAAGAAATGGTTTTCTTCCTTTCTGAAAATCAAACACAAAGCTCCAAAATTTACTGCACCCTTAGTGAACAAACACAACTGACAAGGTTGGCGATATTCTAAGGATGGTAAGGGGGCCAAGATGGTCCTTCTGGTCATAGCATTGTACACCCTTCTTAGAGGACAGAGATGATCATCTCTCTGAGCCAAAACCAGACCCAGTTCTGGGTGGTCGCCCAACATTGTGGGGAACTCCACATCAGTATGGAACCAGTTTCATGAGGGCAGAGAGGTACTGCCCAGAAAGGGCCTCCCAAGCATCAGGGGAAGTGCAACATCACAGTGAGATGACAAGACTCTCTTTCAAATGTAGTGATTTTATGAAGTTTCTGAATTTATTCCATAGTTCTTTTACTCAACCATTTAGTGAGAAGCTACTGGGTCCAAGAGCCCATCTCAGGCACCTGTGAGCCTTGCCTTATGAACAAACATGTTTGAGACAGAAATCCTCCAGGGCTCACTATCTATGTGGCTCATGTGACAGTTTATCAACTGCTTCTATAAAAGCTTTCTTTGCTTCATTATATATTCATCTCCACTGAGAATCAACAAGAAAACTCTTGAGAATAGGTCTACGTAAAACAGAATGGGCAAATGAGGCATTATCCAGAGAAAACAGATAAAGAGAAGTGCTTAGGTTTGACTGGTTGAGAAGTTCAAATAGAGAATTTTCTGATTATGAAACTTCACCAAATTTTCCTGTTTTCAGTGAAGATTGTATTTGTGAAAGCCAAAATGTTTGTCAAAAATTTGAAAGACCTGTCTCAGTTGGTTTCGTGCTGCTATAACAGAATACCTGAGGCTGGCTAATTTATAAAGAAAAGAGGTTTGTTTAGCTCATGGTTCTGCAAGCTGGGAAGTATAAGAGTATCACCCTGGGCTCTGTGCCCATAGCACAGTAGTTACGGTGCCAGCCACATACACCAAGGCTGGCGGGTTCAAGCCTGGCCTGAGCCTGCTACACAACAATGACAACTGCAATAAAAAATAGCTGGGCATTATGGCGGGTGCCTGTAGTCCCAGTTACATGGGAGGTTGAGGCAAGAGAATTGCTTAAGCCCAAGAATTTGAGGTTGCTGGGAGCTGTGATGCCATGGCACTCTACCCGGGGTGATAACTTGAGATTCTGTCTCAAAAAAAAAAAAAAAAGAGTATCACCCTGGCTACTAGCAAGGGCTTTTGCACTGTGTCATAACATGGTGGGAAAGGTCAAAGGGCAAGCAGATACGTGTGAAGAGATAAAACCCAAGGGGCATTCTGATTTCATAACCACCCACTCTCTTGGGAACTAATACTGCCCCATGAGAACTAATCTAGTCTTGCCAGAGTGAGCACTCAACTACTTCAAGGACCACACCAAGCTATTTATGAGGGATCCACCCTCATGGCACAAATACTTCCCCACAGGCCCACCTCCCAATGCTGGCACGTTGAGGATCAAATTTCTACATGACTTTTGGTGGGGACAAACTGTAATCAAGGAAATCCAGGGCGGCGCCTGTGGCTCAAGGAATAGGGCACTGGCCCCATTTACCAGAGATGCGGGGTTCAAACCCGGCCCCAGCCAAAAACTGCAAAAAAAAAAGGAGATCCAGGCATCCAGGCATCCAGGCAGCCAGGCAGCCAGGCTGGGTGTGACAGCTCTTTGCCTGTCTGTAATCCCAGCACTTTGAGACTCTGAGAGGAGAAGGAACAAATATGTCTTATAATAATGGTTTGGGTGTGGCTTCCAGGGTTCCCACAAGAGATATACTCAAGTCAAGAGAGTCACCACACTGAGAAAAGCCCAAAGTATGGCTTCTCCCTTTAGTATTTATACTTCAGCTGAACTTCTTCCCAGTCCAGATATAATTTACCAGTGGGGGGTCATTTAATCATAAGCAACGCTGCTCAGGGACATAGTTAATAATCTACCTTTATCTAGTTTGCAAGGACACAGAACAAGAAAGTCAACTAAAGTTTAATTTCTTGTACAAAGAAAAGGATTTTTATTAGCTCTTTACCCACAGAGACCATAAATAACACAGGAAGATGTTGTGCCCTAAAGTTGATATTTGTTGCCTTTGCCTTTCTGTTGACCTTTCTGGTAGTAATAGCACTTTGGGTCCCTCTGGAGAACCCCCCCCCTTCCTCCTGACACACATACCCTGCCACCTACCGTATTTGGTAGTGTCCATTGCCAGACCTTCCCTGCCTGGCTTCTGCCATATGAAGTGATCACATAACACTCCTGATCACACGGATGGGTTCAATTTTTGATATATGATTCAGGCAGGGCCAACCAGAATTGCTTCTGAGATTGAACATGGATGAGAGTTTTTTTCTCTCTTATACATTGAAATCCATAAGGATATAAGCCTCAGGCTGCTAACCTCCATCTTTCCCACCACATGAAGAGTATACCAAAGAATAACACCAACCCACAGATAGCTAAGAACTGGGAAAAGAAAAAGAGCTGGTTCTCACCATGCTCTGAAGCCAGCGGACCCATCCTCAAACCCTTTAGTCAGGAGTTTATAGAGTACCTTTATTCCTTAATTTACATTAAAATGAATTTCTGTCACTTGCAACAGAAAGAATTCTAACTAATAGGGATTTATCAGTTTAGAGAAAAGTACTACTAAAAGTATCAGGATCTGTTTACCCTTAAACGGGGCTCTTTTACCCTTGGTTGCTACAAAGCTTTGCATTTCTGCACAGCTAGAGCAAAAGCCTCATCTGCTAAGAAGTGGGAGTTCTGAGAAAAGACTACAGTTATCACACATAAAAACATTTTTCTTCTCCAAGAAAACAGCTATTGCTTTCAACTTTGGATGCCCTGCAAAATGTTATCATCAAGGAAAAAATGCAAAAGCCAAATTATACAAAATCAGGACTATTAAAGTCATCTAAATCTCACAAATATATCAAAGGCTAGCATGAAGAAAGATGAGGTATGGCCGAATGAGATATCTTGTCTCTCACTGAGTTCACGTTGTCAGATAAAATAATGCTGGCCATTTCAAATACATATGGGTTTTTTGAGAAAAAGAGTATTTCCCATCACACCTTACTTCATTTTTCTTTAACCACCCAACCCTTTCTAATTATATTCACGTAGGCCTCTTTCCAGTGAAGGCTCTCATAGGACCTCCCTATTTGGAAGGCAGGAAGATTTTTCCAGCCAGGAGGATAGTGGACCATGGTGCCAGCGCCCAGGCTCAGATCTCGAATCACAATTACCCCCTGGGTCAGGATCTTGCATCTTTTTCCTGTTCCTTTGTTCCATTTATTACCTCGGTGTGTATTTAACCTCATATGTTTTAACTCATTGCATTTAAATTGTTTGCATGTGACTAAGCCTGTTGTTTGTTATAAATTATTTTCCATTTTAAGTTTACATGTAAGTTTTTTGTTGATTTGTTGGGACAGTCTCACTCTGTCACTTAGGCTAGAGTATAGTGGCACAATCATCGCTCACTACAGCCTTAAACTCCTGGGCTCAAGCAATCCTCCTGCTTCAGCCACCCCAGTAGCTGGGACTATAGGCATACACCACCAGACCCAGCTAATATATTTTTTTTTAATTCTGTAGAGACATGGTCTTTCTGCATTCTCCAGGCTGGTCTCAAACTCCTGGCCTCAAGCAATCTTTCTGCTTGGTATCTCAAAGTGCTGGGGTTATAGGCATGAACCATTGCACCTGGCCTATTTTTAAGTTATCAAATTTGATGTTAACAGTTGCAGCAAAAATGTCATAAATAGCCATTAAATGGGCATCCAAAGTCCAATCTGACAGTCCTTTACCATGAGGATCTGGGATAGCACCGCCCTTAGGAACCCCTGTGGAGAGGTGCTGGGGGGACCCAGCACAGTGCCCGCAAAGCCTCCTATGCATGTCCACCCACATTTCCCCTCACCCTGGGATCAGAAACTTAAAGCAGAACAGCAGCAAAGGAGAAGACCCTGGCAGGGGTCCTCAAACTTTTTAAACAGGAGGCCAGTTTGCTGTCCCTCAAACCGTTGGAGGGCCAGACTGAGGGCCCTGGGACAAGTTGGCTGCTAAGCAGGACAGGCAGCTGTGGGCCAGATAAATGTCCTTGGTGGGCCGCATGTGGCCCACGGGACATAGTTTGAGGACACCTGAGCTAGAGCTTCTAGAGGGAAAATAATGTGTGCCGTGGCGGGAGTGCCGTTAGCTAGGAAGAGGTGGTGCTGATGGCCGGGTTAGTTCTCTTCTTGGAGACTGGAGCCACCAGGCTGGATTAAATCTAAGGTTGTTAAATGTTTTCTTATGTCTACATAAGAGAACAGCTGTCTTCTGAATTCTCCTTATGGTCATTATCCCCACTCCTCCAAAAACAGAAGCTTCTTTGCATTTTGACTTTTACAGACTTCCTATAAACAAGTGGAAATTCCCCTATATCTGTAGCTCAAAACAATTTAACATTGTAACACCAAACTCTTGCAAACACTCAACAAATACACGGCCTCTGAGGCCTTCCATTCTAGTTCCCTCCCTCTCCAAACATGTTAGTCTGAGTATTTTATTTTCCATCACCAGATGGAAGTTTATGTGAAAATTAAAAATATCTAGGCTACATTACCCATAACTTCTGGCTGCTCTAATCTCTCTCCCCTCAAAGATTTCTAGGGTCATGGAGTTGAGAGACATCTAAAAAGATTTCCCCCACATCCTCCATCTCTCCCACTCCCTATCTAAACTCTCCTGGGCCCCATCAAATCCCTTCTGTTTTAAAGGTCATCTCCCAGGAAAGCTGTCCTTGTTAACTTTTAGAGTTCCCTTCAGGCCAAAGAGGAGTTTGCTCATCCTTGTAGGTAAACAGGCTCACAATCAGTTTCTGTTGATAAGAAACTAGGCAAGAGGGTAATGCCATCAAGGTGGAAGGGGCTTAGAATTTCATCAAATGCATTTAATGACTCCACATTACCTTTAAGGAAGTACAGACAGGGAACCCAGTGCTGAATCAATAGACCCTGAACTCCTGATCCAGCTCCAACTGGCTTTTACTTTTCTAATTTTTTAAATTGTGGTAAAGTACGCATAATATAAAATTTGCCATCTTAACCATCATTAAGTGTATGCATGTAGTTTACTGGTCTCAAATACATTCATACTGTTCTGCACCCATCACTATCATGCATCTCCATAACCCTTTTCATCTGGGCAAACTGGAAGTCTGTTCCCATTAAACAGTAATTCCCTAGTCTCCCTCTCCCCAAACCAGCCCCGGTAAGCACCATTCCAACTGCCTTTTGCCAACATACTTGACTCCACTTATAGATGTTAGAGAAAAAAAGTAGACTTTGCCTTTTTTCCATTGATCAGTTTTCACACAAGACTGAAATTGGATTCAGAGTCTTCTTTTTCTAGATAACCCAGTGGACTCATTATTTGCTCATCTCTCTCTCTTTTTTTTTTTTTAGACAGAGCCTCAAGCTGTCACCCGGAGTAGAGTGTTGTGCATCACAGCTCACAGCAACCTCCAACTCTTGGACTTAAGCGATTCTCTTGCCTCAGCCTCCCCAGTAGCTGGGACTACAGGAGCCTGCCACAATGCCCGGCTATTTTTTTTGTTGTTGCAGTTTGGCCAGGGCCGGGTTCGAACCTGCCACCCTCAGTATATGGGGCCAATGCCCTACTTCACTGAGCCACAGGTGCCGCCCTGCTCATTTCTTATACCTCTCTGAACCCATCTTAATTTAAGATTTCTCAGCTGGACGTGTGCAGACATCTTCACAGTCTGCTGCCAGGGCTCCTGAACCTTTCCCTAACAGAGAGTGAGAGGAAGAGGAAGAGTTTAAGCTGTGCCCAGAGCCCGGTGGAAAGAAATGATGGACAGGAAGGCTGGTGGCTGGCAGAAATACCAAGTGGGAAAGGTTCCCTGCTTTGAGTTTTGAACCTCATCAGCCTGCCTAATCCTTCCCAGATGCTATGATCTCCCATGAAAGCAGTCAGAGCTCAATCAAGAGGGAAACCACTATGTGTGCTAAACATAACAGGCCCTCCACAAATATCTGCTGACCTGTATGGAATGGAATTGTTCATAGGCCACATGCCTACTTACCATGGATCAAACTGGACAGAGTCAGCTGTTTCATCCTGATACTAAACAGTGTTTGACTATGATTGTCAATTGGAGGAAATCAGCATATTTTGTACTGTAGCAATCATTACAATAACTACCATTTAGTGAAACTAACCCGTGCCAGGCTCTTTGCTAAGTGCTTTATGGTCATTTCCTCACTTGAACATCTCAACAGTGGCTGTTCCGATATTGCTACATAGGAGTGGCTTAGGGGTATAGGAATGCTGCCTTCTTCGAAGGGGGCTGTGGAATGGCCCATCATGAAGCTCATTCATATAAGTACTTTTACATAAGATTGAGGGAATAGCAATTGTCTATATATATATAAAAAAAAAATAGAAGTGTGCTGAGGAAAAAAACTATATGGGGGAACAAGATTTCTCCTATTATTCTTAGTGCTACCAGGAAGTCAATTTTATTATTGTTGTTGTACAGATGGAGAAACTGAGGCTTTCAGCAGTTGGAGAACTTGCTTAAAGACACATAACTAATATATGGTGGCACTGCCCCAGGACAGCCTCTGCAGCCAAGTCCGTCTGCCTCTAAGGTATAAACACATAGTTGTTTAGTCACCTGTAGAGGAAGTAAAAGAAGTTTATGGCCCTAATTTGAAGAGATAGTGTTCGTTGTTATTGTTGTTTTTAAAACTGAGGTCAGGAAAAATGTATGAGAATTTTTAAAGAGGTAAAATGAAGGGAATATTACTGATCAATTTCAATATTTTTTATGGAGAAAAATATTCTAGTGGGACAGAGAAAAGTCCCTCACATTCATGAAATATGTTCCACTGCTGAGAAATCAAAATGCCAACTGCATAAAGGCTACAGCTCTGTGGGACAAGCATAGAGGGATATATTCCAGAAAGAAGACAGTCCCTGGCACATGGGCCATGCCCCTGTCATTTGAGAGAGGAGACAGTACAGGATGACAACCGGAATCAGCCAGATCTGGCTTCAAATCCTCATTCAGCTACTTCTCAATTTTGAAACTTTCTTTGGATCAGTTTCTCTGAGCCTCAACTTCTTCACCTCTACAAATTAGCCAACTATTTCTACCTTATAGAATTGTCATGGAGGTTAATGAGATAATACATTCATCCCACATTGATTTATTGATTATCTGTAGGGGCCAGATCCTAGAACTCTCACTGAAATAATCTATGTAAGTAGCTTTCCTCTGTATCTAGCACATTAGCAAAAACACTCATTAAGTGATAGCCAGTATTATTCTGTATCTTCTTATAAAAAAAAAAACAAATATAGGTTGACTGCATTATATTCTATGGCTTGTTACTGTATAGCTTGGGTCAAATATATTCCAAAAAGGCATAGCAGAATAGAATAAAATTTAGGCACACGTTCTGAATACTAAATGGGGTGGATACTATCTCCACCCTGGCCAGGAAGAGGGACTAGAAGGGGAAGGGAGAGTCTGGCTGCCCTCAACACTTCCTGTCCTTCCCACATGCAGAGGCTGCTACTAGGATTACAGCCAATACCAACACTTCCCTTCCATTCCTGGTCTGCTGCAGTGATGGTCTGCAGCTGGCTGCAGGGGTGGGTCTACTGTGCTGGCTGTGCTTGTAGGTCTCTCAGGGGAGGAAGAAAGCAGAATCTGGTAAGATGGATGCAAGACCTGCCCACCACTGTAAACACACCTCATCAGGCTGGTTCAGGTCCTGCAGGTGCAGATCTTGAATGAGGTACTCCACGATGCACACATTATTGCTCTGAGATGCAAAGTGAAGGGCATTCATTCCATCCTAAAGAGATCCAGGGTGGGGGAGATACTTACAGAGTGACCTCAGAAATTCCTCCCTCCTGCAATAGTGAAGTGGGAGCTTATATCCAAGTGTGTCCCAAATACCTACCTGATTCTTGGCTCTCTGGTCAGCTCCAGCTCTAACCAACATAAACATGATGTCAAGGTTCCCAGACCAGGCTGCGAGGTAAATTGCTGTCAAGCCATGCTTCCCCAAGAAGAAAGAAGAAGAGATTCTATCACTCAGATGGGCCACAGCATACTAGCTCATAAACAAAGGGCAAGTTACTAGTATGTTGTTGAAAGTTAAGAAATAGACAATTTCACATATAGCAAAAGTTAAAGGTTCTCATGTTTAACAAGTGGTGCAAACTCAACTCGTTCTTCATTTGGATGACAATAAAATGAAATGCCACATTATGCTACACCTTGTGGGACTCTTAAACAATTTTGGAACTCGTTTTTTCTGGAATGGCCATTAGAGCTATTGTCATATCACCCTTGATGTCCTGAATGTCATGAAAATGTCTTCCTTTCAATATTTCCTTTATCTTTGGGTAAAGAAAAAAGTCATTAGGGGCCTGACTGGGGGGCTGTTCCAATACAGTTATTTGTTTACTGGCTAAAAACTCCTTCACAGACAGTGCCATGTGGGCCGGTACACTGTCATGATGCAAAAACTAGGAGTTGTTAGCAAAAAATTCAGGTTGTTTCTGTCTAACTTTTTCATGCAGGCTTTTCAGCACTTCCAAATAGTTAACTTGGTTAACTATTTGTTCAGTGGGTACAAATTCATATGAACAATTCCTCTGATATCAAAAAAAGTTAGCAACATTGTTTTGACTCTGTTTTTTTTTTTTTT